CAGTTCGGACAAAGAACTCCATCTTTATCTGAATCCGAAGATTCTACTACACGTTGTTGTATCTCTGCAGCGGTTCGCTTGGCTACCGTCAAAATTAAATCACCGGTTTTTGCACGATGGATAATATCTGTAGTCTTTCGCACCCAGGTACGCCTTCAACCAATGTGATTTCAGCAGCATGCGGCTGAAACTTGTCGATCCGCACCTCATTCAACTTTCGTTCACTCTGAACAATCGTAATGCATTAAAAACGATGACGATAGGACATTCAGTTTCGACGTACACCGCGAAGTCTGAGACGCTATCGTCGGTATTTAATGAATCGCAACAAAACGTGTACCGTCAAACGCACAATCCCAATTTTCGACGACTTCGGTGGTAATGGGTTTAGTAATATAACCAGACTGACCATTACGAATAAGCACGCCTAAACCATCTGTACGATGAAATTCAGCAATACGTTCAAATCTTGATGTCGAATGTGCACTGCCGCGAACATTTCTTGCGCCCTTGCTTTTTTATTCTGAGATTCAGCTAAAAGATAACTCTAAAATTTTGTCACACGTGAGTATTGACGAGTACTATCAGCACGAATCTGCGTAATTTCACCCTCAACATCACGAATCTTACTATCCGGGGCAGTACAGATGACGCAAAACTCGTAATCATCCTGATCATTCGTTGCCGGATGATCAGCAGTCTCACACGCGCGTTTTCGTTCTTGAATTACTTGTCTATCCACAGCATCCGTAACCATAGCTGAATTTCAACGTTTTTCACGGCGGCGTTCTCGGCGCTTACGATTTTTTAAAATCCTTTTTTCTTGCGTGTGATCGGCTACCACGTATTGCCGAAACCGTATGATCATAAATACGATGCGGTTGTTGCCGTAGTCGTGTTTGATCAGTATAAAGAATTCGACAATAAGCTTCAGGTTGCGCAACATCTATTTGATGAACGCGATGCAAATCAGCAAACTGCTGCGCTATTCTAGATGAATTTGTATGCATAAATAATGCATAAGCAGCAGATTGATAGTATGCTTGCATGATTTGTTCCAACGAAATTCTGTGCTCGTTATTAGAGCAGGCTGCCACAGCTTTTTGAGGGGGTGCCACACCCCATGAACTATGTCAAAAAACATTTTT